ATGGCCACGCGACGTGCGGACCAAAGGAAGCCCTGAGACACCGATCTTGTTGAAGCTCACAGTACGGGCACCAATGTCAATGACAGTTTGAAGCTCTTCCATGAAGGGTCGTGACAGGAGTAGAGGAAGTCCTCCTGGTGCTTCAGCGCTGTGGAGCTCGCCATTGACCTTGCTGATGCCGACCGGAAAGATCTTGACGGTGTCACTGGCGATCTGGCCTCCGACGCCCTTGAACGATTGCTTCTTCAAGCGTCGTTGAGAGGAGAGACCAATCTTCTCCAGTTCAGCTTCAAACGCTGTTGCCCACTCAACACCATGCATCGTTCTGGTGCAACCCGAGTCGAGGATGGCCAAGCCTGGAGGATCTTGAGCGCTGGAGGCATAGGTGGTCTCCATGTCCAGGCGTTCATGGTCATCTGTGGCCTCGTGGGTCATGAGATTCTCGAAGGCCATGAGAACTTCAAAGTCGTGCAGCTGGACCATCTCAGGGTGGCCATCTTGGACAGAGATAGGGACCCGCATGTGACGTTGTGCCACCATTTCATCAGGGTTGGCTGTCCTCTTTGGTCCCGATGTTGCGCTGCCCTTCCATTGCCTCATGGTTGAACTGTGAAGCAGTCGCACTCTGCCGAACAGGTAGAAGGCGAAGCGGTAGGTCTCCGGTGCCATGGGCTGATCTTCAAGAGCCATCTTCATAGTTTGGTGGCAGAACACACTGGCCTCTGCTGATGAGGCAATGGAGGCATAGTCATACCCTTCATATGGTGTTCCAGGCCCAAAGACAGAGGTGTCGCCAGGAAGTGGCTGCAGGATGTCATAGTCAGCCTCGGCCAACGGAGGAAACATAGGCAGCTCAACGGATGGAGATATCAGAACGCCATATGCCCAAAAGCGTGGTTCAGGAGAAGCACCAGGGCGGACAATTCGTGCCGTAGCTGATGAGGACGATGAACCATCCTTGGATCGACTTGCGTGTTCCCAACTGGCTGTGCTTGGAGATCCAGGCTGTCGTGGATAGCCTTGTGGAGGTTGAAGTGCTTGTCGCTCCTCATCTTCAGCCAATGCTCTGTCTCGCGACTTGCAGACATTCGCGAAGAGCTCACGAGATCTTGCGGCACGTCCCCAGTTGGTGCATAGTGCGATCTGAACCATGTAGCGCCACAGCTGAGAGGCGTCCTTGCACTTAGCCACAATGACTGTCTTGTCACAATCCTTGTCCTTGCAGGTCACATGTCGTGTGTGGCCATTTGCGCCTCGATGAAACTCACGTTCATTTCCACCAAAATACGAGCTGTGCTCACAGAGTTGGGTGTCCTTCAGCACCATCAGCACTTCGCGTGCTGGAATTGGAGAAACATGCATAGTGAAACTTGCTCCAGAAGTGGTTGCAGGTCCATCAATCTGGTAATTGCGCACGGAGTCGATGTAGTGTGGCAAAATGCTCACAGGCTCAGTGGGAACAATCACTGGCTTCTGTTCGACATCATTGGGTTCTTCCAAAGTGTTGCCCGGCACACTCTCAGTGATCTTCTCATCCGCAGGGACTTGCTTATTCTCAGAAAGGGGGGCATTCGATGGCAGCTCGTCAAAGTCAATGGCCTTGACATACTGAGGAGCTGTGTCATACTCAGGAAGGACGAAGGTGGCATTAATCTCCTTCTCATCATCGGACTCGATGCCTTCATGCAAGACAAAGAAGGTCGTCTTGCTGTCACTCTTCTTCTTCGGAGGAGAGAGTCCAGACCTGTGCGATGTCTGCTTCTTCTTCTTGGTATTGGGACAGGCATCATCACCAACCCAATGGCCTTTCTGGCCGCAGCTCGTACAGGCGGTGACGGACTTCAGGAACTTGACGGCGGTGTTGCGTTGTTCCTTGGCCTTGGCATCGAAGGAGATGTCACCTAAAGCTCGGAAGGGCAATGACTGCGATGAAGCTGGTGATGCCTTTCCTTTCTTGCCCTTTCCTTTTCCCTTGCCCTTCTTGAACTGCATGACAGTAGCCAGGGCTTCGGCCACCTCTTCATTGCCTTCAGACTCTTGGAGGTCTTACGCAAGTGCCTCCAAACCATCATCTTCCCAGAAGGCTTCTGCACCATCGAAGTTCGGTGCCTCATACTTTTCATCCTCGTCCTCCATATAGGCCTCATCATCGTAGTACTCGAAGGCGTCATCGTAGCCCTCGATGTCAATCTCGGAGGTGAGGACATGCTGAGGTCGGCCACGGCCCTTGCCCGGCTTGTAGCCGCGGCGGAAGAGAATGCCAGAATCTCTAACAGCTGGTGGAGTGCGGCCACAACCAAATAGGTCTCGTCGGTGAACTGGCTTATCTGAAATTTGAGGAAACTAAATCCTCATCGCATTAGCGATCTTCTCGAAATCGTAGTCGTTGTTTCCCGAATTGAGGACCGAGACTTGCTCCTAAGGGCTAAGACCACCGAAGAACAACAGCATCATCGCTCGGAGGTACCACTGCCGACTTCTTCAAACCGTCTAAAGTCTTGTTTTCGGCGGATAATGTATTGCTACATCGATTCTTAGGATCGTCTCCACACCTAGAGGCTGTAAAAGGCGGTGATAAATAACTCGTTGATCTTCATAGGCTTGACAGCGACAATCGCTCCCTTAAGCGTCTCCAAAAATGCCCTCAATCCCTTATCGATGGGATTGCCATCGGAATCTTTCGTCTTAATTTTGGTGTGCTCCAACTTTCTCACAGCCTCGTAAATCACACCACTCAGCCCTACACGGAACGCAAAGTGGTGCAAGATTTTATCCATCTACTGTTTCGTTTCATTACTACAATTTCGTTTCAATAGTATTGCTCTACCAAGCTCGTTGGATTAGCCATTTCTTCCATGCCCTTTCTTCATACTCATCATAGAGCTCCGGATCGCCGTTAAACTGCGACACACATGCCGATCAATATCAATGCGCTAAGCCATCAAGTAAAAGACGACCAAGAAGGCGTAATGCAAGCGTGCGAGGTCCGGCCCGGCAGAGGCGGGACCTCAGAAGCGAGCGGCCGTCGTCAGCCGCAGGCGAGAAGCGGCGATTGCCGGCAGCGCAACAGCAGCGCGCAAGAAGTGCCTCGCGAGAAGCGTCAAGCGAAAACCTATCACAAATAGACTCCGCCTACCATCAAAAGCCGGCGTGCGGCGACGCGACAAAATAGCACCGGTTTTAGGCCGAAAAAGGCGCCCTACGGTCGTGAGATAACGTAAAGCCACAAAAAAGGCTACAGGTAATTCATAGGGCCATACTCATGCTACTACTATCATGCTAATTAAATTTACAATAAATATTCTACCAGAAAAATACAAAACCAACAACGCAAAAAAAAGAATAAAAATAACTACAAAAAAATAATTACAGAATTTCGAGCCTAAAATAAAATTTAACTAATAAAATAATATATTAAATAAACTAAAAAATATAAATTAATAAACATAAAATACATACGAATATAAATAATAAAACCAACCTTAATTTATAAACTTATAAATCTATTACATCGTATCCCAAAACCTCCACGCAAAAGCGTTCCAAAGAACAATTAAATCCCCGTAGAAAAATCCCCTCTACCCATCAAATTTTCACATAATGCGGCGATCTCCAAATTTCCAATCCCTTACTTACTAAAATAAAACAACTCCAATTAATTAATACTAGCTTTCGCAATAAAACATAATATATAATGTTTATTTTATTTAATACCAATTTAATATATTCCTTAAATTCAGATTATTATATAGAATATATTTTCCGTAATCGATTACATCTATTTTAAATAACCGATCACAGCGAACATAAATTGCTCGCAAATAAATACACAACTAACGATTGAAAACAAAGTTGGTCCTGCGCTCCTTAAAGATCCGGACCATTTTCTTTATATCTCAGTTTTTGTTCATATTCAACTCCCTGAGTCATGCAATGACATTAAAAGCAAATAAGTCGGAGAGAATCTGCGTAAATTCAATCTCTGCAAGCCTTCTCACGTCCTTCCTACCTATCTGGGTGAGAGCGATGCACGTTCTTTTTTTGAACGTTCGACCTCCCTCCACACCACAACCTACTCCACCTCGCCAACTTTTTTACCTTCCATAACCTATGATCTATGAGGTTTCCACTGCGCGGTATGGCCCACTAAGCAATTATACCTATCGCAAAAATGACGGTCCCGACTTTCCAAAACCATGCGGTTCTTGATCATGTTCCGAGCTGCCTCTCGATCAGCGCTCTATTTTCGTTCTGCTCGCCTCCCCTCCAATCCGACTTCCCTCATCCTGATCTTGGAGCCAGCCATCGGCCTTCTCCCCTTTGTGGTTGCTTTTGCAATGATAATTTGTTTTGTACGACAACCCAGCAGCCTGGACCTTTGTATATAACAACCTTTGTACTAGAGGTCAGGCAGGAACACTGAATAATGTAAAAATCCCTAGGAACACACGGGTCTCCGTGTCAAACTCGTTGCTCTCGTTTACCCCACCTACATAACCCCCTTGCCCGTGAAAATTATCCAAAGGCCATTCCAACTACCCGTGTCATGATCGCGCAAATCACACTACCACTAAGGGCCGTGCCACGCCATACTGGCTGTTGCGCGGGGAGTACTTCTTTAAGGTGTTCTTTCTCTCTGCCCTCCGCTCAGTTTTGAACAATATCTTGGCCTGGTTGCCTGTTGACTCCCGGAACAACTTCAGATGGCTCAAGACCAAGTCCTCGCTGAACACCTCTTGTGCCTTCGTGTCCTGACATCGCAACACCCTTCGATATTACGAGTACAAGTACTCCAACGTCTCCGCACCAACAAGTCACCAGGCCCTGCTTTTGCTGGTCTGTTTCCAATCCCACCTCACCTCTGTCTCCACAGCCTTGGACACTTGCCAATGTGATGATGATTTCCCGAGCCGCCCCTGCATCTCGCCCCTTTTCAGTATGGTTTCCTTCCCCATCTCAGTTTCTTTATTCCTCTTGCGTGCGTCCTCAGTGTTTATTGTGTCAATCATCACCAATGTGGTGTCCCCCTGTGGTGTGTCTCTGATTTGTTTGCAACAACGGTGCACTGCAACAACGTACTGTACAAGAGATTGATCTGTCCAACGCAACTTTTGACACGCAATTCGTTATCACGGTGCTGATGTGCCTAGGGCCTCAACACCAAGAACGCACTTGAATTCGAGAAAGTTGAAGTGTAACCAACTTTGGGTTACTCAACCTCTCAGCCATCCTTCATCTGACAGCTTCGTTAGCTGATTGGCCATGTGCGATAGGATCCTCAGATGGAAACTGTTCCAATTCAAGGGTGCCACAGTGCCCTACAGGAAAGCATGTTGCTCTTGGCCTAAGTTGCAGGCATCAAATCTTTCACGCTTGCCCCCAGTTCTGGGGAGCGTGGTCCTCACAACTCCAATCTGCATCTTTACATGAGCTGTTGCGTTCCCGGCCATTTTCTGGAAGTTGTCCTTGTAGTGCTCTGCATGCAAATCACACCATCGTTGTACACCACATATGATGGTCCCAATGGCATCACCAGAGTCTTGGCTCACAAAATGCATGTAGATTGAAGGAGTGCCTAGCTTTAATTGAGGTCGTTGCATACCTCTTGAAGGACGGATCGCCAGGGATATACCTCCATTCAGCAAGCTACCATTTGGAGCTATCAAGAACACGTTCTTTTTCGGGGTTGTATACTCTTTAGGCGGCCGGTTGCTGTCGGATCCACGACCCCTGCCCCGGCTGGTGGTGTTCGGTGTCTCGTTCGTGTTTCGTTGGTGTTTTGGTTTCGTTTTGCTGGTGTCCCGGTCATGTTTTGGTGGTGTCTCGTTCATGTTTCGTTGGTATCTTGGCGTTGGTTTCTTGGCGTCCCGGTCATGTTTTGGTGGTGTCTCGTTCATGTTTCGTTGGTGTTTTGGTTTCGTTTTGCTGGTGTCCCGGTCATGTTTTGGTGGTGTCTCGTTCATGTTTCGTTGGTATCTTGGTGTTGGTTTCTTGGTGTCCCGGTCATGTTTTGGTGGTGTTTCGTTCATGTTTCGTTGGTGTTTTGGTTGCGTTTTGCTGGTGTCCCGGTCATGTTTTGGTGTTGTCTCGTTCATGTTTCGTTGGTGTCTTGGTCGTGTTTTGGTGGTGTCCAGGCCATGCTTTGGTGGTGTCTCGCTCATGTTTCGGTGGTATCTTGGCGTTGGTTTCTTGGTGTCCCGGTCTTCTCTTGGTGGTGTCTTTCTAATGGGATTGGGGGTGTCTCGGTCATGTGTCTCTGTTGTGTTTTGGTGGTGTGTTGTTTTTTGCGATGTTTTGGTCATGTTTTGGTGACGCGTTGGTCGCTTTTGCCGTGTTTTTGTCAAGTTTTGGTGGTGTATTGGTTCTGTTTTGGTGGTTTTGATGGTTTGCTTATGTTTTCGCTGTGTCTCGGTCTCAGTTTTGGTGCGTGTATGAACGTTGCGCTTGCGTGTCCATACACCTGGCCACATTGCGCGCAGGCGCTTGAAACATCAATTTGCGCTTGAAGGTTTATCTTCCAAACGCTGCTTTTTTGGCGGCAAATGATGCGTCGACGTGCAAATTAACCCAGCTGACAACACCAGTAGCAAAGCGTCCACCAAGATTTAGCACAATTTTTCTGCGCGTGTTGTTCGTTGCCCAATGGTCTACACACAAAATTACGCAAACAAATTCATAATCCAAGTTCGTATGTTCCATAGACCGCGAAGCGCTTAAGGAATGTTCGCCGACGGCTGAATTGTATGTTCAAGTGCTCAAGTGTTTGTGCGTGGTGTATACGTCTGAAGAGCCATTGGTACACGGTAAAAGCAACATCGCGCAAAGGAGAGGTGTGTGCGTGCGCGCGTATACTATATACCAACATTTCTCGCACATGCGCGCAAATTCGATTCGTGCAAGGAATGTAAGGAGTGAAAACTATACAGAAAAGAACAAAATATGCATTATCACTAAACCAGACAGAGAGTGCAATTACAAACGAACGTATAATTTGCACACAAAATGGAATTGTCAAAGAGACCATAGAGTAAGTCCTGGCACCAAAGAAGAAACGCTTTCGAATGAAGCGCCCGCGGGCAATGTGCGCCAAGTCTATGGACACGCAAGCACGCAGGTTTTCTGACCCCAAATACTGGCAAAAATAATGATGGTGGTTAGTTAGTAGTGGTATTCCAATAGATTGTTTTTCTCGCCGTTTCATGTCTGAGTTAAACGTGGACTGTCATTTCATGTTTTAACTAAACCCGGCCCCGATTGGACCATATTTATTAATACAACTATTACTGTTTTCGCCGGGAACGAAACAAATCGATTGGACATTTTACAGACAGTAAAAATAGCAATAGGACTAATTGTCTTCCGGTTTTGAGCAGCCACTTCGTCCCATTGCTTCACCAAGGCTTCTAGCTTTTCCTGAGCCGCTTTCAATGTCTCGACTTCGCGCTTCAAATTTTTCGCGTGCTTCAGACACTGCTCTTTCGTTTCCTTCAAATCGATGATGTTGTGAATCTTTTCTTCTTTCGTCAGTCTCTCTCCTTCGTTTCCTTCAGGTAGTCGAGGAGCGAGTGTGGAGGGTAATGCTGCCGTCTGATTTGCCATTACCGGCGTGGTAGCTAGTGCCTCTTCGGCGTACTGCAAGATGACGTTCGACTTCCACCTGCCCAGGAAAGCCACCTGTGGGACGCGCCAACTCTTCCTGATGTACTGAAGAGCTCCTGAGCGTCTTGCCGAGTGTCCTGAAACCTTCTTGCCGAAGATGAGCCTCCATGATTTGATGATGTCGTCCTTCGTGGCTTCAATGCCATCGGATAGTAGGTGTGCCACCTGCGTGTCCTCGATACTCATGTCATCCAACGCTTCCTTGGAAATGGCAAAGGGGCAGGGGTTTGCGATTGAGCACTCCCCTTTGCACCTCAGGTACAGGGACGCTATCCTGTTGTCTTCTTGAATCTGAATGTCCTCCTTCATCACCAGGGCGAGTTCAATCTCCCGAAGCATCCATAGTGTTGCGAAGGCGAATAAAAGAGCTGGTTTGTGCACGTGCCCCCGTTCCGTCTGTTGGTTCGTCTCCTTTTGCTTTTCCTGTAGCCACGTCTCTTCGGCCACTTCTGCCGCCTTCTTCGTTGGGCCTCTCGCTCTCTTCAGTGCCCGGTTTACTTGGGCTTGAACTCGATCATGTTGTTGGCTCCACCATCCACCCCTTTGATCATCATCAGCTTGAGTTCTGCCAAGTAGGCGGGCCCCGCTTTGTATTGAGCTTCCTTCAATACAGCACCCACCTTCTCCACATCCTCAGGCTTGATGCAGGAGAGCTTCTGGTCCTTCAGTCCGATCTTGTCCAAAATGGACTGGACTGTTCTCCTAACCGCAGCCTTCGCCTTCCTGGAGGAGTTCGCCAAGAAGGACATCCGCAGTCCGCGGGTTCTTGATCGATTTCTTCCATTTGGTGTTGTCCTTGGCCAGGATGGCCGCCGCTCTGCTTGCGTGTCCTGGTTTCCATCTTGATCTTGCACCTGTGTCCACACCTTCTGGTCCTGCAGGTAGTTCCGGCAGATCATTTCTCTTCCTCTTTTGTCGGCTATGGAGGTGGTTCTCATTCACTTCGTCTTCGACCTTCTTCTTCCTCTTATTGTCCCGATCGATCCCTTCGTCGTCGCCTTGTGCTTTGCCTCCACTGCTGGGCCATTGTCTCTTCCTTACCATCTTCACCAAGCCATGCAGGGAGTCTGAGAGGGTCGCTGGTGGTAACGGAGGAAAGAATGCTTGTGTTTCGGCCGTGGATGGTCCTTCAAGTTCACCCTCCAACCAAATTTTCAACTCCTCGAGGTCCTCCCCTTCTCCCCGGCTTGGCGTTGGTAGTAAGCTATGGCTTACAGCTCCCTGGATTCCTTCGCATTCATCCTCCGTGTGACCAATCTGGCCATGCCCGAGTCTGCTCCCCTCGCCATCTCTCTCCATGGGCGGGGATGACGAAAGTGCTGTCGATGCTGTTGGTCTCGAAGACGGGGGAGCTCCCTCCGTCTCCAGTCGTGGTGCGCTCGCTAGATCTGTGATCTCTGCCCTCGGGGGACGTTCTGGTGTCCACTCGATGAGGTTGTGCGGTGATAGGGCCATGAGGAAGTGTGGGGAGCTCCTTTCCGAGTCCAGCTCTGTGCCTGAATGCTCTAGCCTCTCGCTCGCCCTGTCCTCTTCGCCCCGTGGAGATCTCCGCGAGCCGAGCCATATTGCCTTCGTGCCTTTGAAGATGACGTGAACCAGGCAGCTGCAACGTAGTAGGAGGTAGCATTGGGCGAGACAGCCGCCGCCGATTAAGTACACAAACCCACCATGGAGTCGACCGGTCGAGCCTCAGGTGCACTTCTACGCGCGTAGGTCGCTCAATGACCTCCATCTTTGGTACGAAAAAGGCTGCGGTGCGACGACCGATCGGACCCGAAGGAGTGAGGTTCCAGCCTAACCAAACATCCCTTCCCGTCCTCGACATCCCAGCGCGCTTTTGGACACAGCTTCGCTGGATCCGTCTCTGTCAGTGACGGGGCGCCCAGGCTGCTGTGAGCGCTGTGGCTTCACCCCACCCTTCGGCTTCCTCTGTCGCCAAAGGTTCCAGGATGTACCACTCCTTGGGGCGTCCTGCCAGTGTCTCAATCTGCAGGCCCGAGAGCTCTTTGGGAAGCTCCGTGGTGGCCCAAGATTCCGGCTTCTTCGCTGTACCTGGGATGCGCACTGGTGTCAGCGTCGCCCCAAGAAGTTTAGGGCCCTGCTGCTGTTCGCAAACTTTTGGGCGATCGAGAGTGCTGTCACCGAGTCCGACTGGACGGTGATGGTCGCCCCGACATTGAGCAGCAGCTTCTCCCAGTGGCGGAGTGCCACCAGAATGACCAATGTTTCGACTATCCCCTGTGATGCAGATGACCCCAGCTCGAAGTTGAGCAGCTTTGAATCTTCCGCCGCCGTGACCGGCGAGGCTAAAGCCTTCGTCACTCTGCCATTGACGACGAGGATGGCCCCAGTCCGGAGGGTGATCAGGATCTTGGCCGAGGCTTGGTTTGGTTTCAGACTTGCTAACGCCGCTGCCAAGTACTCGACCAGCCAAGATCTCGCGTGCTCGATCCTCTTCAAGGGGATCAGTCTGCTTTTGTCCCGGCTGTCCTCCCGCTGCTGTCTCCTTGCTTCTTCGATGCCCTTCTCAACCGCGTCCTCCTGGTCGAACAATGCTCCATACAAAATGGGTGTTGTCCATCTTGCGCAACCAGCACTCCAGCCAACCATGAAACTTTTCCCGCTGCCTTTCGTAGTTCGCTCATGGCGATCATTCCCTTTACTGCCCAATCCTTCAGCTGGGCCTGGAGCTCGGTAAGGAACTTCTCGGGCAAGCTGATGAGAAGCGCCGAAGTGGGGTGGTTGCAGCTTAAACTCCACCCCCACCCAAGTGACTTGCATCGACCTCTCGCCCTTCTCCAGGTTGACCTTCAAGCCCAGTGAGGCCATTGTGGTGAGGATGCAGGACAACAACATCGTCCTTCTCTTCAACGAGCCTGCCAAAGCCCATAGGCTGTCATCAAGGTACACTTGGCGGCGTCCTTCTTCTCGGGGCACCAAGATTTGAACCAAGCGAGCCACCAGCGCTGCCAC